GATACCATGAAAAAAACAAAAAGAAAATCCACTTTATGGGAGAAAATATTTGCAAATCATATATCTGATAAGGGACTTGTATCCAGAACACATAAAGAACTCACATCTCAATAATAAAAAGACAAATTAACCAATTAAAAAATAATCAAAAGATCTTAGACATTTCTCCAAAGATATACAAATGGCCCATAAGCACATGAAAAGACGCTAAACATTAGTCATTAGGGAAACACAAAACAAAACCACAACGAGGGGCATAGTGGTTAGGTTCAGCACATTCTGCTTCAGCAGCCCGGGTTCACAGGTTCAGATTCCAGGTATGGACCTACACCACTTGTCAGTCATGCTGTGGCAGTGACCCACATACAAAATAGAGGAAGACTGGCACAGATGTTAGCTCTGGGCTAATCTTCCTCAAGCAAAAAAAAAAAAAGAGGAAGATTGGCAACAGATGTTAGCTCAGGGCAAATCTTCCTCAGCAAAAAAAAAAAAACCCCACAATGAGACACCACTTCATACTCACTAAGATGGCTATAAGCAAAAAGACAGACAATAACAAGTGTTGACAAGGATGTGGAGAAACTGAAGGCCTTGTACACCACTGGCGGGATGTAACGTGGTACAGCCATTTTGGAAAACTTACAAAGTTAAACATAGACTTACCATGTGACCCAGTAATTTTACTCTTAATATATACCCAAAAGAAATGAAAACATAGGTCCACACAAAAATTTCTAGATAAATGTACATAGCAGTATTATTCACAATAGCCAGAAGGTGAAAACAACCCAAATGTCAATCAACTGATAATTGGATAAACAAACTATGGTATTATCTATACAACAGAGTGGTATCTGTTAATTAAAAAAATGAAGTGGTGATACATGCTACAACATGGATGAATCTCGAAAACACTATGGTCAGTGAAAGAAGCCAGTCATAAAAGACCACATACTGTAAAATTCCATTATATGAAATGCCCCTAGGCAAATGTATAGAGACAGAAAGTAGAATCAGCAGTTGCCTAGGGCTGGGGATGGGTGGTGGGAATGTGAAGTGCCTGATATAAATGGGTAAGATATTTCTTTTTAGGGTGATGGAAATCTTCTAAAATTAGACTGCAGTGACGGTTGTATAACTCTATAAATACACTAAAATTCATTGAATTGTACACTTAAAAAAAGTGGATTGTATGGTACTTAAATTATATCTCAAAAGAAGTTGTTTAATAAAAAAGACATTGCAGCTTTGATTTTGCTCTTTCTCTTCAATCACCTCTTCTGGGGGAGCCAGCTGTCATGTCATGGGGACACTCAAACAGCCATATGGAGAAGTCCACATGGCAAGGAACTGAAGCATCCTGCCAACAACATGTGAGTGAGCAGTCTCAGAAGGGGAGCCTCCAGCCCCAGACAAGTCTTTAGGAGACTGCAGACCTGGCCAACACCTTGGCTACAACCTCAGGAGAGACCTTGAGTCAGAAACATCAGGTGAAGCAACTCCCTAAGTTCCCAACCCACAGAAATCATGTTGCTTTAAGCCACTAAGTTTTGGGGTAATTTGTTACACAGCAATAGATAACTGATAGCCCTTCGCTGACCCGTTCCTCAGTGTTAAGCTCTCTCCTAATGATGGACATCTAAGGAAATGTCTTCCCAGCAATCTTTCCTCTTCTAAGGGTTTAGTTTCACCCCCATCAATACCTTTACTGTCGTAGCTGTCATGTTAGCAGAACATGATCCAAAGAATCATGAATCACCCGAAAGAGGGCACCTCACAAAAGCCAAGCCAATAATGTTCTTTTCTGAGATTTTTATATCTAAAGCTCAGAAAAAGGCAGTGTTTCTCCAGTACCTGAAGCTGTAAGATGTAAAACTTGGGGTCTGTCAAAACGATGTTCTTTCCCATTTGGAAAGAGCTGGACAGCAGTGGAGAAGAATGAAGCCATCACACAGAGACAAGCAAAGATTCAAGATGGAGAGAGTTCAGACAACATAAGCCTCTGCTTCCAGTGATTCCTGATGAAACCCTGTCCTTCCAGTGGGAAGACCATATCTGTCTTGGAACTCCAGCATCTAAAACAGCACTCATAAGAGGTAATGAAATATTTATGGAATAAATGCACGGATAAGATAACCCAGTATTCTTCCAATAACCCCCTCTTTTTTTGTTGCTATTGCTCAACAGAGAGTTAGATTATTTGAAACCTCAAAGTCCTAACCTCTTCTTTGCTACCTTTACACTCTGAATATCCCTCTATTATTATACTTATGGCAATATATTCTAATTACTGGTTTACATGGCCTTCCCCCTACTATCAGATGGCAAGACATTTTCTTGCTCATTTTTGGTATCATCAGGACCATCTAGCCTAGAAAACAGAAAGTGTTTAAGAAATGTTATGTTTAACTGATCTTATCAATCCTTTACTCTTCATTGTTTGGCTTTTATCATCACTGTCATCAATTCATCAACCACCTAACACCTCCAAGGTACTGGGAATACAATAAACTGTTAGACTTGGTCCTGAATTTTCATCCATTCAGTGAAGTCATTCAACAAATATCTGAGTACCTATCATACGCCAGGGGCTAAAAATGGACAAAGGACATGGTGTCTGCCCTCAAGGACCCTACCGTCTAGCACAGACTAGTAAATCAATTGTTACAGTAAGGTGTGTTAAATGTTACTGAGGCGCTATGCACAGGCTGCTAAGCAGCAGCAGGGATCATGGGCAGTTTACACTCTACTTCAGAAAGCAAGACATGTACAGAGAGAGGCAACAGCTTGGCAATGCGGCATAGCCTAAGCACCAAATGAGTGATTTGTTTTCCAAGTTACACTGGATTAATTCACACACTTTAAGAAAAGATACTGTTATGAAGTGATTTTTCAGATTTACATCCAACCAACATCTCCTGAGTGCCTAATACGTACGCACCAAGCAACCTGCTTAGCACTTTTCCAACAGGGTCTCATTAAATTCTCACATTTTGTACTTTAGAGAAGTAAGTCTGAAAGAGTGAAGTGGCTTGCCCAACTCTACATAGCTATTGGGTGGCAGAGCTGGGATTTAGAATTAAGTTTTCCAAGCATACCATGCTACTTGGTCTAAACAAGTGGAACAATTTCCATGTCTTTACATGTGACTTACTGCCTTTTCATTCATCCGATGGCACAGAATACAGTGTTGGGCACAAATGGGAAATCACCAACTGCTGACTTGATATGACTATACACTTGTCCACATTTTGAGAAGGGACCACATGAGATCAAATTACTTTGGTGCCTATTATAGCATCATGTGCTAAGAGGAGCACAGTTGGCTGAAGATGAGTGAATCTTGCAAGTTATATTTTAACAGTGTTTTTGACCACTATATCCGGTCAGTTGTTCCAATGTTCAGCAATAAATCAAAATGACTGCTCACTTCCTTTGACAGTTAACAGTACTAATAAATTCAGTATAATCTCACCATCCATCAGAGAAATTTCTAAAGTGCAAACTTGAAGCTGATGATTCACACAGTTTGTAGAGAAGGGAAAATAAAGCAGTATTCATTGTTTTCTATAAAACTAGCATTGTTTGCAAAACCCAGAAACAGAGTAGTTGGTTGACTACTAATAACAAGTAGGTTTGCTCCTTGGTCATTTAGCAAAAAGCTGCTTGGTTGCACCATGGTCAACAGCTGAGAAGCATATGACCTCAAGTAGCTTTTGCTGTACAGCACGATTCTACATATATAAATCAGTGACTTGTTATGTAAGATAAGAAAAAGAAATTCAAAATCTCCACACCAGAAGGCACCTGCCACTGAGCCTGGCACAAATCAGATATTAATACTGAATCAATGTTTATTGAATAAATGACTTAACAGCCCTTTGAAAACATCAGTTGTCTATTAAATTGAGATAGAAAAATCAAACCAGCCAAACCTACACAGGTTATGTTAGGAACTCAAAAAGATTATGCAGTAAGAGCCTCAAGATACATAACAAATTCACAATGATGAAAAAGACAGTGTTCAAAAATGTTGAAATAAGTAAGCATGTAGTTGATATCCCCCTTAAATTACAGTCACCACACTGGCACTCAGTGGAAAGCTAACCATAGTCTCATTAGAAACAACAAAAATTCAAAGACCCAGGGCAGATCTAACTTTACAATCTGTTCAAAACAGTAACAAGGTGTACTCGGCATACATCTGAAACCTGCTGTATAAGCTGTGTCCACACAATGAAAGACTATCCCAATACGCCCAGGAAGCTGAGTCAAAAACCTTAACACACGCTCACGAGAACATTTCATAGTAATAATGAACAACTCATTAAAATGTATTATCCGTTCAAAAATGAAAAAGTATCTCTAATAGGAGACTGCGCTCCACAAATATAACCCCGAACTGTACTGATGAGTCCAAATAAGCATTTTCCAAAATGAAGAACCTGGACCCACACAACGAATAAAGTAATCCAATAAGTATAACGCTTGTGACAACTCTAGTGATCTCAAACACCAGAACGTAAACGCTGAAGCCGGCTAGTTAGCCGCTTTTACCTAGAGCTTGAAATTTAAAGAGCCGTCTTCTCAAGAGACCTTTGAAAGAAATTCAAGGCCAAGTATAGCATTTCATAGTAATCGCAAATAAAAGCATTCAGTCCCCGAAGCCTACGATCCCTCTTTATCTCACTGGAGATCGGACTCATGAAAAGCCCGAGGGACAGCCACCCTGTTATGTCGTACACGACTCAAAGCACCTTAGGGGGCAGTTCCACAAACCCCCGCTGGGACCACCTCTAGGGAAGCAGAGGGGTGGAGAAGGGAATCACTCTCCAAAACAAAGCGTCGCTGACCCCACACCGAGGAAGGCGCACCTTTCACCCCTGACAGGATGCAGTGACAGATGTGTCACCTGTGCAGGAAGGGGGCGCGAAGACATCCTCGGAGACGAGTGCCAACAGACAGCTGTCCACTGCTCCGCGGGCCCCCGCGCCCCGCGCCCGTCGCTCATTCCCGGGCTCCAGGAAACTTTCGGCCGCTCCCCGCCGGCGCGCCCCC